CTCGCAGCTGCTGGCGTCGTTACCGCGGCCTTCGGCTTCTGGGCGCGATCTTTTGAGTTCTTCGCCATTGCTCTCAGTTCCGTAGGTCACTGGAACTAAAGTATACTTTTTGTTGTTTCCCACGCCAGTGCCAACACAAACAACCAAATGGGGGAGTGCCGACTCCCTGCAAACCACACACTTGATTGACTTGATGTTACCACGGCACCACGGCGTTGCAGAACCAAGAGTGAGATTCTGGCAGTTGGCTGGGACAGGTGTTCTGTTTTCTACGTCCTAGTAATACTAGTAATAATACTAGTAATACTATGCCTTTTCGTGTCGGTTCGCCAAGGTCGGCACCCGGTGGCCTCGGTTGAGGACCACCTGTGTCATGGCGGGACTTGGATTAAGTCGCCCACCACAACATGAAGTTATCTTAAACTGCTTTTTTAACTGGAAGTACCGTACTTTACGACTCAATGTTGAGTGTGGTACTCCGTTGCGCGTAGCCAGTTTCTGTTCCGATGTTTTTAACTTTGATTGGCAATTCGAATGCGTTGTGGGGAGTATGTGTTTTCGCGACTTGTATGCGTTTTCCATCGAGTAAAACCGAATCGGACGAAATGGAGCATGAATGGCCGAATTCAATAACGTTTTAAGGTATTTCGTTACAAACGATAATTCGTCAAAACAAGTAGACACTCCTAATTGTATCCTAAAGTTTGTGATACATCTGACACCTTGATCAACTCGACGTTGATGGACTCAGCATAAGCTGCCACGCTGGAGAAGAAGCGGTCGATGGTTTCCGCCGCAGTGTGGGAGTCCCGGTATTACAAGATAACATGCTTCTGCTCGTACGTGTACCTCGAGTATTTGTACACTTTGGGCTTGCGCCGCGTGGGTCGAGGCATGTCGTCAAATTTTCTGTGGGTGGGTGTGGTGTTTCAGATTTCAAAACCCTTCGTTCAAATTGTTATTTTCAAATATCGCGCCACTACGTGGATATAATATATAAAAGGGTATGTATATCTGGTGCGATCACCAATGGAGCAAATCAAAATTTTAGAGATTGCCAAACGGTGTACCACACTCAACATTGAGTCGTAAAATACGGTAGTAGAATACCATGGTTTTCCTTCAAATTGCACTGACAGTGAATTATTTCAATTTTGGGCAAGAAAAATGCATGAAATATTGTCAAAATGACAGGGGCCCGATTTGTCATAAAAACGTTCGCTTACTTCACTCATATAAGGCTTATAACAAACACACAAGGACTTAAATGGAGAGTTAGATCTTACTGAGTTGTGACGAGTAAATGTTGGAGAGTGATGTTGTGTCGATCGATGGAGAAGTGCCTGTCTTAGGCAAGTCGCTTGATGAAACTTGGTCATCCAATAAAACGATGCTCATCGTAATTATATCCAATCACCGAATTTGGCCCACCGAAAAAGTGCGCCACATAAGCCGAGAGTCGTGTCACCAAGCTGTGGAAATGGGTAGTATCCCGATAATCAGTTGTTTATACGGAACAATGGTGCTCATGGATTGGTTCAAAAATCTAAAATATCGCTCCCTGATTGGCCATGACAGAATACCTTGCAAATTTAGTTTTGCACTTTCACTATAAAGTAACACAGGCTATTTGGTCGTGGGTTCTATCAAGGTCATGGGAATGGTTATAGCAGATTTAATATATTATAGTGTGCATTTCACCCACTTTTGGACTTGTGAGTCCTTTCGCCAAATAGTAGCATTCCAATCCATTTGATCTAATTTAAGCTTGTACAAACTATGCAATATAAAGATTGGGGATGTACGTGGTTTTGCCCAAGGAGAAGGGTCTGGGCGAATTAAGCGTTTGGATTGGCAGCAATTCACCAGAACGTGTTATGATTGGCTTAGGCGATTCTTTAATAATGCGCTCCAGTTTCGAATCGATTAGACAATACTATTACAGTAATAACTACTACTTGAAGTAGTAATTAGCACCTACAGTACAGTGTCACAAGTGGGGTGTTGATTTTTCAACGACACATTTTCGTTCAAATTGTTAGAAAGCCCCTACCACCGGTAGATATGCACCACGTCAATAACCATTTCAAGTGTAATGTGATGAACTAATATTCGATAATGTTACAATAAGTAGTATTATTAATAGTACTTACTACGTAGTACTGTATTAATACATACTACAGTACGTACGTAGGATGTAGAATCGTTGAAATTGTTTTACAGTCAGTTTAGGGCCCGTCTGGATGCCACCACCATATTATGGGATATTGGAATATTGAATAAAAAACATTTTTCGACATTGCAGGAAATTCTTGGGTTTCAAGATCCAAGAATGATTTTGGGTGGTGTGTCTGGATGCCATAGAATTAAAGAAAGTTCGGAAATGAAGAGCCAATCAGAGGATAGCGCAGAGCCGCAGAGGACTTCGTCCACCCAGAGAGGACCACTGAGGATGGACGTCCTCTTTGGTGACTTGTGGACAAAGGCGAGGTACCGGTAGTGGTACTCCATCTGTCTGGCGAAGAGTTCTTTGGCCAGGCGGCGACGTAGGAAGGCAATCACGATGGCCTTTCTCATTCCGAAATGTCCTGAGCCATCGACGTAGGAAGGCAATCACGATGGCCTTTCTCATTCCGAAATGTCCTGTCAATTCAACGCGCACTGTCAATATCGTCAAAATATTCTACTCATGAGTAGAATATTATTTCTTGTGGTTTTCACGATATTTCTGATAAATTTATGGAATATAACTTGGTCCAGAAATGGCATGCAGACACGCCAAATTGAAGTCGCTGATATTCTTGAATATTTTGCAAAATTATCGCGATATTTCTCAATAAAAGTGGTATCCAGACGGGGCCTGAGAAAGAAGTTTTGTACAGTAATAACTTCTTCCATCTTCCCAAACGGCCCCTACGTTACAATAATACTTCAAGTACTTTACTGTTAATACATTTACTGTAAGGTAACGCATCGAAATCCCGAACAGCATCGAAATCGCGAACAGTGTCAATTTTGACGACCAATTAATGACTTCCCTTGGAGGCCGATCAAATTCTATTGGCTATGATTATATTCACCACTCCATGTTGGCACAATCAAATTCAATCTAATTGAATTCTGTCATTAAAATGGTGTCGAATATAATGATTTTCATTGACGTTTTGAATTTAACATCCAGATTAAAATTGGCGGTGTTATTTTGCAAATTTTTATAGCATCATACTTAACACAAGACATTTGAGTGTTCGCGATTTCGGAATTCTTGAAGTTCCCATCTCGGCGTGAATGGGGTGATAATAATTTTCGTCCAAATCGCGAAACTCATTCAATTGTGCTGGAAATGGCACATTAAAATGGAGCTTGAATTATATTTTCTTTGGGTACCCTCAGATTTTCTCAGAGTAGTCTAGTTTCTCCAGGACATCAACTTGAATGGACAGGTCAAATTTTCGGCAAAAAGTGTTCGAGATTTCGATGCGTTACCTTACATGGTATTATTTCTTGAAAACGCTGTATTGCAACCCAATGAGCCTACTATTCACCATGAATAGTACTATTAATAGTATTCTGTATTGATCCTGGCAACTCCATGTTAAACTTATACAACGCCCATCCAAGTTAGACGTCTCGGAGGTGGTTGCCTTGCCGAGGCGCACTGCGCATGCGGCGCAGACCAACGAACACGATGAACACTGCCACGGGGACCAAGTACAAGGCGAAAAACGATAGATCGGGGGTGAAGAGCTGCCCTTCCGCCTTGTGGTGGAGGCCAATCACGGGGGCCGTCGAAGTACTTGCGTCGTCCGCGTCTGTCTGCATGACTTGGATGGGGGGCAACGTAGTGGTGGTAGTGGTCGGGGGTCGAGTAGTAGTAGTGGTCACCACGGGTTTGGGTTGTTTGAACGATTCAAAGCCATACGTTTTCTTCATCCAGTGCTCTACTTGCTCCATGCGCCACTTATCTAAGCCATAAACACCCTCTTAGATAAAACGCTCCTTGTGGTGGTTTGCATCCAGCGTATCTGACGATTATATATCCCCAAGTAACCAACCCTCACCTTCGACGCCGCACGTTGGACACTTGTCTGGCTTGGGCCATTGAAAATGTCGAATGCGTTTGTTCACAGCATTGTGCATCGTCCATAGCCACATGTACAGCGCCTTGGGTTTATTCACCTCGTTGTCGAGCTTCTCGACCAGTTCCAGCGTGTTGTACGCGAGAAAATGCTTGCGACACGGTAAACAAGTGAGAAAGTTCTTGACGAACCGACGAATGGCAGTCACGACGGCCATCGCAAGCTCGTCGCTTGCGCCCGGCCCAACCATCATTGTCATAAGGTGGAACATTGTCCACTGGCCACACGTGTACAGTTCGCACGCGTAATACGCCGTCCCATATCCTTCAAACAACGTCGGCAAGAGCTCCCATTCTTCGGGGTCGTAAATCGACTTGGTGTATTCTTTGTGCATCATCGCAGTGTGGTTTTGCCAGCCGTGAAAAATCACTCGCCACTTGGCCTGGGTGAGCACGGCTACGGGCGCGACTTGCTTGTACAGGTTGGCCAGCTACGTGATATGAGATTCAACTGGTTAAGCAACAAGTGGGGCGTGTACCAGGTGACGGTATGCCTCGCCTGGAAACGTGAGCGACACAACGCGAAGCCACTCCTTGAGCGCGTCCAACTCGATGTCTTCCAGCGTCGAGCGCCCCGTGAACACGCTCTCGCGCATGCCAAAGACAAACGCCGACGCCGCATCTAGCACGCGGGTGGTCGCATTGGATGGGAGTGTCGACTCTTCCCACAACGGACGGAGGGTGGTCGTGCCAGGTGGCGACGACGTTGTGGCTTCGACGGGCCAGGACCCGGTGGCATTGAACACTTGTTCGCGGAACAGTTGCGCCACCTAACGATGCAGGGATAGCGCGTTCGTCCGCGTCAGGAGGACGATGGATGTGAAGCATTTATGACAACTACTTACGAGACCAAACACTTCGTCCCTCGTGTGCTCGCCGACGGCGCGTTTGTTTTCAAAGTTCATGTTGTTGTCAAAATTCCACAGACCCAGCGTGGGGAAACCCTTGATTTTGTAGACCGCGCATTGCTCCCAGTCCATGCAGCTCATGGCGCCAACATTGATGATGTTGAGCGGTTTGTAATGCGCCGCGATCTCTGTGAAGATGGGCACAAACTGCTTGCAATGGGGACAGCTACACGTACCCTCAAGTATCAGCGTCACTGCCTCACGTGGTGACGAAAGGCATGCGACTGTCAGCTAGAGTAACTACGTACTATGGATGGTAAAAGTCGATCAACCACGGTTTGCCATCCAACGGGGCGTCGCGGATAAGTTGATTGTAATTGTGGTCCGTGAGGTACGTGACGTTCGGGTGGTCTTCCTTGAAGAGCGGCGTTGGGTCCAGGCGGCCCTTGGCGTCGGCCAAGCTGGCTACGGCGGCGACCAAGGCTACAAAGAGGAGCGCAAGCATGTCGATGGAAATATTAATTCTGATCTGTGCCGGAGAATATTTGGGTGTCGCTCTGACCAATCAATGGTCGTTATTTTGAAGATCCGGATAAAAACGTTGTTTCAAAATAGACAAACATTTCATTTCGCATCTAGTACATCCGGAATTCGACTTCAAAATGCACTCAAAATTAGGAGTAATCGACAAACCACAGTATCCAATGAAATTTATCAAATAAATACATTATGACCAATCAAATGGCAGGTGTATCCGGTGCTTCTCTATTTCAGAGAGTACAAAAGGGATACATCGTCAAGCGTTCGCCGCTAAGTACTTTCCACAAATGCTCGACGCCACCCGCGGTAATGGAGAAACGGATGGTAGATACGTATTGTCAAATCGATTCGAAAGTGGAGCCGTCAGCAGAATCGAATGTCCTAAGAGAATGGATTGAAGAACCGCCTGAAGTCAACCAAGGCACGCCATGTCTAGTTTCTGCCAATCCAAACGTTTCACCCCACCGCATTGGGCAAAACCACATACACACTAATCGTTGTATTTTATAGTTTGTGCCAGCTTAAATGAGATAATTGATTTGGAATGCTATTTGGCGAAATGACACAAATCCAAATTTGGGTGAAATGCACAATATCACATGCGATCCGATATCTTCGTCAGACGGACATTCTGCAATACTGTGGCATCATTGTATCAGACAGGATTCTTAGAGAGAGAATACAAGTGTATATTTCACGTGAAGCAAGGTCTCGACGATTTGAAAACACCAAATTTACATTTACCAGTTTTAGCTTGAAAGCACAACAAATACCATAACGTTTGTGTTTGTATTAACGTTACAGTGATTTTGCAAATAAGTACTACGTAGTACAGTATTCCGAAGTACTGGTACTGTACTCCAGTATGCTTACAGTACTGTAATTGGAATAATGATAATCCAAAACTCAATTAACCCACTCCGATGGACGATTAACATTCTTGAGGATACTGTACAGTATACCCAATCACCGAATTTATCCCACTGCATCCCCGTGCATCTGTAGAACGAAACGACTAACCCTGAAAAACGTTCAATAAATATGAACGGTTTTCAGTCCCTGCCGAACGGTATCCAGATTTATTGAACATTTTCCCATACTGTAGTTACCGAACGAAACGATCCAGTGAGACATTTTGGTGCACCCACTGGAAATTTCAGTGTGCACCTCTGCATGTTCCAACGAGTGCAGTTGGCTACGTACAGTAGCCACGGCGTCAGCGCGTGAAAGTATTGGGTAAGAAAATGCTTGGGTACAGGTAGATGGGGAATACGGTACAGTACCTCTGTGTCGTCTTCAACATCTGTGGCACAGTATCCTTGACAAGCATGCATCCTGTCCATGATGAGTACTCACAGTTAAGTACTTCGAAGTAATTAATAATTTTAGGATATTAATATCTGTGGGACTTGGAACAGCCTGTTCCAAGTAGAATTCGAAAATCGCGAATAACGGGGTGACAAAATACAGTATTTCTCCCATTTTGTTGCCATTTTACGGCCATGATTGATTGGACATAAATCGTGTCCTGAAAATGCAAAGTGATTGGACAACGTAGTATTGAACCAAGGGCTTTCACTGGCTCCCGTGGTTAAGGTCCAAGCCGAGCTCCGTCGTTGCGCTTAACACCCAACGGGGTCGACCGTGAGATCTCTAGTCACTACTTCAGTATCGCCAGTCGCCTACACGTATGAGCTGGTGACTGCGCTCCCGCACTGTGGTTATCTGTGTTCGTGTCGGCCCTCAATATTCAACCTCAGAGAGCGTAGGATCAATAATTGGCTGGTGAGGGGTTTAATTTCAGCCAGTAGTTTGGCCCGGTGATGGGTTGTCAAAAATGGGACGAAATGGGGTCTTTTGAAAAGTAAGAGTTGGGGAGCGTTTTGATTGGATATTGCCCATTTTCAATTCATTTTACTGGACTAGAATTGTTGGATCATTTCATGGGCGAATTCCCTTGTGGAAAGTTATTCTATGATCACTACTGGTAAATAAGGCCTTTACTGTACTCCCTCCGTGTCACTATAAGTGCGCACTCAGAAAAATAAAGTATACCTCCTCGTATAAAAATACAAAACACTCCAAGATCCTATAATGATCATGCATTTATAAAGGTGTAACGATACAACTGTCCAATCATAACAATCAAAATTCATGTCTCAGGACCAATCACGCGTCGTACCGTGGCGGGGTGGCAGTTGTACTTGGCTGCGAGTGTTTGACTGAGGCCATTGGGAAGCCTGACCAAGTAGCTGCTGTTGCTGTGCAGGAGCACTTCACGGAGTATGGCCTCGCGCTCGCTGTTCGTCAGGTTGCGCTATTTGACGGTCATTCCTGAATGTCTGTCATTCTGAGTGTTTGTTTTATATAAAGTATTTTATTGATGTATTGAAATCATCACAGCGACTTCATTTCGCTGAATTTCCCGCTCGAAGTTGGACCAAATCGGGGGTTTTGACAGTGGCTTTCGAATGGTCCAATCAGAGCGACTAATTTTGAACCCAAGAGAGCGCCAAACATAAGTTCAGCCCCAAAAATCCCTATCATAGGACATTTTCGTCAAGATATCACCCACCAGACCTATGCTATCCGGAAGTATTTTAATCTAAATTAATATACAAAAGTACTGCTCAACATAGTCAAATAAAGTACAGCATGCAATCTTTATAATAATTCCCATTCAATTTACACTGATGGCCAACGAAGGCACACCTTGATGGAGGAGAGCGCCGCCATCGTTCGTACGGCGAGGCGCTGCTCAACAGCTTCCGCGGCGGCGCGTTTTCCGCCGTCCTCAATGTCACGTTGTTCGTGGCGGGCGTGAGCATTCAACACGTGCTGCTGCATGCCGCGTTCACGCCAACGAGATCGGCGCCGATCTCGTCGGCAAGGTCGAGCAGGGCATCCCCGAACACGACCCGCGCAACCCGTCGGTGATTGCCGACTTGGTTGGGGACATGGTCGTCGACTACTTCGGGGGCACCGCCGACGTGTTTCTTTGAGAGCGTCGCGATTGAGATCATCGGCGCCACTTCCCTCGACAAGGAAGGTGCCATCGAGTCACCCGTGTCGTTTGTGTCCTCCATCGGCATCTTGTGCGTGACCGAGCCCGGACCAACCGAGTCGGACCCGCTGACCATGCTCAAACGCAGGTACTCGATCACATTCTTGTTGGCGCTGGCGGGGTTAGCCCTGTCCACGCCGTGGCTGCTTTTCGCGTCTGCCGCGCCCGGCGCGTGGTTGTTGCACTTTTCCCTCGACACTGGTGACCTAGTTCTCTCTTTTATGCCAGTGTCATCACAATGATGTTGGCAGTACGCTTAATCTCTACCAGTATACTGTAATGAAGCTCCACGTAGCAGTAGGTAATGCGAAATCTCACGAGTTTCGCGTCATCGTAGGCTCGTATTACTACTAGCGCACCCCCTATGCTATAAAGGTTAACGAGTTCGCTCTATAATAGAATGCGACGAGTTGCGGAAACGGTTAGTTGATGTAAATGCACTCATTATCACTTTCACAGTTCCTGTTCGTTCCGCGCATAAAAGTCTGACGGGTGGGGAAAATGAAACTTATCGGTGGAATCAGCATAAGCCTCTCATTTATCCGAACACTATCCGTATAAAGCCTGGTCAAAAGTCCCAACCGGTGGAGATGCTCTTATGCTGGTGTTTGTCTTTTGTGAGTCGGAATGAATAGGATATTGTGGGTGAGCCACACCATCATATATGTAACGTTAGTTGTTTTACACAAGGGCTGATCAAGTGCACACCAGCTACACTGTACTGTGGTATTGTACAGGAAGGAGCTGTGAGGTTTGCTTTTAAACCGTGCCGCTTGATTCTGTAAGCTATATACATTATATACTTACGTGATTTCAGATTAGGTGTCGTGGTCCTGTACTCAATCCTCCGGTTGCGGGGTTGGGCGGGACAACGGCACCAGCTTCACGATGGCATGACGAGGCGGCGCATCCTCGGCACTTTCGTCGAACGTCTTGAGCTCGCCTCCGCCAGCGATTTTCTCGTCTTGCACGGCCTGACCGTGTCGCAAGTACACGCTGCCCTTGCCATCCATGGCGACGCTGCACGTGATCGCGGCCACGTTGATGCGTGCACTTCCAGTGCTGCCCACGTTGATGTCCAGAGCGTTGCACGTGCCCTCTGCGCCAGTACAACGCACGCTGCCATGTCCTACCAAGTCCGAATCAACAACCTATGCAGGTGTACACTTAAGGGCAACGAACCTTGCACTTGCACGACGACGGAGCCAGCGTCCAGCTGCGCGGTAGCGTCCACTGCCACACTCCCGTACCCCGAGGTCGTCAACGCAACGTGATGTGACGTCATCGCATGGGCACGGACGTCCACGTGGCCACTTTTCGTGCCGTGGAGATCGATAAAATCCGTGACCTTGACTGGCCCTTGCACATCCACCGTCGTGTGGCCGGCCGCGCCCGCGACGGTCACATGGCTAGCAGATACACTGGACGACGCCGCGACCACTGTCGAACCCGACGCGATGGTCTGCACATCCACGTCGTACGCGACCACAATGTCGTGGCACGACAGCTGGAGCAGCCCCGCGCCACCTTGGCGCAAGTGCAAACTGCCCGCGCGGAGGTCCGTGTCGTCGACGAGCAGCGACCCTGGTCCCGTCGTCGCAATGGTCAAGTTGGCGTCCACCGAACGGCGAAACGTGTGGGGGTGAATGGCCACCGTATCTGGTCCCGAGTAGAGCACGACGTCCAGTGACTCGCGGGGCATGTGGATTTCAACAGTGAAGTCGTGGTCCACGGCGTACCCGTCCGCCCACGTGAGCACAAGGGTATGGCCTTCTTCGTGCACACGAAACGCTTCGGCGGCGCCGGACGAGGCACTCTGCAGCACCACCGACGTCGTGTTGATGGGGCTGTGCTGGGTAGCGGCAAAGACCGACACGTTGCCGAGCTCTAGCGTGAGGTGCGAGATGACCGCGAGCGAATCAAACTCCCGACGGAACCAAGGACTTGTGGGCATGATGCTGATGATGATGATAGAGGATTGGCAATGCACGTTGACAAATGGGATCGTTGTCGTCGGTACAAACTACTACTACATGTGTACAGTTTCCACGTAAGCTTAGCACCGTCGTCGTCGGTGACAAGTGAATCTTGTGCAGATTTTACACAGGGGACAAAGACATGACGTGGGTGGAACAACACGGATTGGGCCGTCGCTCACCGAGGGGATTGGAATGGGGTACTTTGCGTGAAGTTCCGTCGTGCGGGCGGGCGCGCAGTTCCCAACGCGTGAAACCATGCGTACTGCTGCATTCAACGTGGTTTCAATGCTGGCTCCACTTGACAGTGCTGCCGTTGCGGCTGTACGTACTTAGGGTACCAACCAAGAACTAGACTCACACTATTAACCCACCAAAGTCCTTGAAGACTTCATCATGAAGTGTACTACTTTTCTTGACGTACCGGTGTTCTTTGGGAAAATTCAGCAAATTACCGGTATAAGTATCAATCTTGTCGAGCCTATGTGACCTAAAAGTTGCCACGACCGTCGAAGTACAGTCTATGAACCCAAGACTACTGTATTGCAACACTTTCTTGAGCTACATACCAGGTAGCTATCGGTAGCTCCCTACCGAAGCATCGATGGACGTTGGCGTAGGGACAGGCATGGCCTCCGTTTGGTACGGCACTTGCATGTGCACAAGTGTGAGAGGTCGGGCTCAACCCTACCCTACGACCTGCGACGCCACGTTATCCATCTGGCTCAAGTAGACGCTTCAACTGCCGGTGATCTTGACTTGAGCCATAGCAGTGGACATGAGATCGTCGACGTCACTACGATCCCGACCCGGTGATGGTCACGTCGTGACGGTCCGTCGAGCCTGTGCCGATCACTTGGATGCGCCCAGAGCCAGCCATAGTCGCGGCATTCCATTGGCTGAGTGTGTTGATTTCGATCTACCCAGCTCCCGCGACCTGGTTAAGCAAGTGGGGGGTACTTAGGGCATTCGGGGCAACGGTCACACCGCCTGACGCACTCATGTTCACATTGACGTTGTCGAGGACATTCAAATCGACGCCACCGCGATGTACGTGTGCCCCGACCCACAGCCTTTGGCACCCAAGTGGCTGGCGGTTGCAGTGGTGCCCACAACGAGCGCGACGCCTCCCGAGCCCACGACTTCAGTTTAGATCGACCCTGCCACCGCCACATCCGAACAATCCAGTTGAACGCGGCCAGAGCCGGTTTGGTATAGTGACAGGTTGGCGACTTCGACGGGTCCGTCTTGGACCAGCAGCGCCCCCGAGCCTCGGGATTGCAGGCACAGTTTTCACAGCTCCTCTTCGCTTGAGCACGCCAGGATACACTGCCGCCACGCCGGGCGAAGCCAACACGACCGACGTAATGGACTGAGCTGGGGGCATGCACTTCGACATAGTAACGACCGCCGACATGCGAGGCCTTCCACTTAGGACGTCGGCGCTTTCGTTGACTAGAAACGCACTAGCCAGCCCAATGCAGCACTATGGTGGGGACTTTGGCAGTCTTGGCTTGGGCAAACTCGTAAATGGCGCTTGTTCGGAGCTGCAGGGCGGCGGACACGACAGCCGTTGCTTCGAACGTCCATTCCAACCAAGGTGCTGACGAGCGTATGGCAATTTCAAAACTGAGGCCATTTCAAGTGTCTGGCTGCATTATTGGGCGGGGGTAAAATGACTTAGAGCAATCAAAAATAATACTAACATTACGTAGTACTAGTACGTTTAACTGTAACAATACCTTTTCTCCCTGATCCAATTTGCTGAATTCACTGTCAGCAGCATCCGCCGAACAGGTTAACCCCGCAGGAACAAAATCACAACGGCCATCACATTGCAAGTACTTTGAGATCGTCCAGGCATCGTATATCGTTATGTGGGAACAATGGTCATATCCTTATCCCAGCACCAGATTTTGTCACTATCATAGGTCCGTACAGTTGAATATGCAAGGCTGGTTACGCAAGAGCGCGCTACTACGTAGCAAGGGTGACGCTTGACATTTACTTTTAAAAGTGCTTTGCATTTCGAATCACCATCATTCCGAGCCGTCATTCCCGCCAGGCAGTATACACCTACGTGGAGGACACGACATACTAAAATCAAGGTAGTTGCTTAGACTGCTAATATGCCATTAATTGGTCACGACCAAAAGTACTCCAAGCTTACTTCGTCGTGAGTCATATAAGATCAACTATAGCTGTCTATATTATACGAAATTACCTTTACCTTCGAATAAAATTTGACGACCTAGTACAACCAACGTTGGAGGATCTCACGGTGTTTCGCGTGAACTTGCGAAGCTGATTTCCAACCTAACGTTACTACAGTGCTGGACAAAAAGGGTTAGTACACTTGATTTTTACTTGTATTTTTTTCAATATTTGTCCAATCAACACGCGGTAAGGATCAGCTTCATCCAATCAAAGAGACGAATACGTTGGTATGTTTATATTACAGGCACGTTGTATACGTGCTGAGTAATGTTAAAAAAGTTCGAACGATTGGTTTTTGGACTGGACAAAAAACATAGGTACAGAATATTTAAACTCACGGCAAACACAAAGTTTTGATCTTTCGTTCGTGAAATTTTACCTCAGTAAATAGTACAACATCCTTGTCCACTCAGGACATCGATGCACCTAAACTTCATGGAAGCTACAAGTTTTAACAAGTACGATCGATCGATGGCGTCCCACTGACGCAAAATCTCGTCTTTCAGGTCAGCAACCGTTGCGAATTACCTCCCATTTGCATAGACCTTACGGGCTAAGTACCCCCAAAGGTTCGCGATCGGTTTGAGGTCCGGAGAAAGCGACGGCCAGCTCAAAACGTCGACTCCAATGTCAGCCAAAAACGCGGTGGTCTCTTTGCTGGCGTGGATGCTCGCATTATCTTGTTGAAACAAGAAATCCTCGACATGAGCGGCATGGGCAAAGGTAACCATGAAGTTAGCCACGGTGTCACAGTAGGCAAACGAGTCTTGGCAGCCAAAAAGGATCGCGAGTGACGTGCGGCCCTTGGACGAAAATCCACCCCAGCTCATCACACTGCCGCCGCCGTTTTGGCGACTCAAAAACGTCTGATCTTCCTTCCGAAGATCGTGCCAGTAATACTGGAGGCCATCAGGACCATCCAGGTTGAATTGTTTCTCATCTGAAAAGATCACGTTGTCCCATTTTGGGCCAAAGTCGACATGCTCTTTGGCCCAGTCGACTCGCGCTTGTTTGTGGACATTGGTCAGACGCGGGGTGGTCTTTCTCTTCTTGTATATGAAGGGCTTGGAGCGCTGAAGCACTCGACGCAATGTCCGCGCAGTGAAGGTCGTGTTGGACCTTGGACGAGCTACTCCTTCCTTCTGATGCTTCTCGGAGCACACGACAAACGTCACGCGCTTCCAGTTTGAGAGGCCGTCCTGGAATGGGCTTCGTTCCGTAGGTGTCGGAGTTCTTGTTGAAGTTGGCGACGGCTCCCTTTGACAAGAAGAGCTCGGCGGCAATCTTCCGAATGGGCCATTTTGCCTTGCGAAAGGCAATGATCGACCCACGCTCGTGCAGGGTTAAACGCTCGCCTTGTGCCATGTCTAATGCATGCATGCATGAGTGTTATTGACTATGCATATTTCGAGCTATCATACACGTCTATCGCAGGTAGCTGGACGATCGATGAGAGCTTGCAACCGCGTAAATGGACTGTGTACCTATGTTTTTTGTCCAGTCCAAAAACCAATCGTTCGAACTTTTTTAACATTACTCAGCACGTATTCAACGTGCCTGTAATATAAACATATTAACGTACCGTGTAATAGATGTCCTTCCAGGTAGGTGATATTTCACAGCCCAACGACATTTGGGTGTTAATATAAATATCTCCTTCCAGGTATACAAAATTCAAGTACAATGAAAATACAACAAGCACGTCATTCTAGTAAAGGTCCATCTATATATTTATAGATACAGGTATTCTAGATTTACAGTATTAATTTTCAGTTCAGTAAATACAAACTCCAATACATTTTAAAACCAGAATTACAATTCATGATTAGTAGTACTTTCTATATCGTCCGTCGGATCAATTGTGTCATCCACAGCAGAATTCGCAACGAGTTCCGATAATATATCGGCAGGAACCGTAGTTTCGACAGTTTCGTCCACTGCTTCATCTTGATGGACAATCTTGCATTTCGCAAATCCGTTGGTGATGATGGCTTCCGACAATCCAAACCACGCGTCTGTAATCCATTGTACCAGTGTAGGATGTTTCGGAGCTTGCAGCTTGAACGTCGAGTTCTGAGACTTGCTATTCTTGACTTGGCGCCGAATACTGTCGATCCACATCTTCCGTAGTTGAGACTTCATAGGCCGAATCCAGGCCACGTCTGCTGGTTGGCACATCCATGTAAACCGGGGAGGGATCTTCTCCAGCACGACATTTAACTCCGCAGCACAGGCAACCACCTCGTCGGTGAAATGTGCAGAAAAGTCGTCCTAAAGCAACAACACTTTCTTCGTCGCACGGTCCGGGCGCTCAGCAAAGTGGTAACGAAGGAAGTCCACCCCGATGAGTGAGTTCCACCACGCAGTGGGGTTCCCGTAGATGCGACACTGGAACCGATTCTGTAGGTGCTCGACGTCCTTCCACAGTTGTTTGCCGAATCCTTGACGAAGCGTCAGGATTTCTTGCACGACCGCTTTGATCTTGGAAGCAGGTGTCTTCAACACCAAGACAAGGGGTACTTCTTGCCGGTCGAGTCGGCCATAACCATGGCCGTTGCGCGGTCCTTTGATTTGCCTCCACACTTGATCCACACCGTGTTGTCGCCGCGAGCACTGAGCGTCTTGGTCGGTAGGTACTCATAGTGCACACCCGTCTGGTCAGCATTATAGATCACGTCGATGTCATTGTCGCGGACCACCTGGGCTACACGTGCCGAGAAAGTTGCCAGCGCCGCGTCGCCGTCTCCTTGTGTGTCTTGACCTTGCCGTGTCCGCGCGCGCAACGAGAGCCGAAAGCGTCTTTTAAAGCCTTCGAGCCACGACCAACTGGCAACGAACGCGCTTTCATCCAAGCCGACGGCGATCGCCGTCTCCAACCCATGATTTGGATCATTTGTGGGGTCACTGGTACCCCGTCCTTGCGCATTGAGTGGACCCACACGGCGATCTGCTCTTCCGACTCCTTGGGCAATGTAGTGGCCATCCCAAGCTCACGTGAACACAAGTGTTTAGAAGTACGTGGATTTGTTGCTTTAACCTTAATGTGAGCACGGTGCTTGAGCCAAGCGTATACCTTCTTTCGAGTTGTGTCGAGTGGAGGGCCCCGCAGGTGAGGAAAGTGCTTCAGGAGGGTGGCTGCCATACCCATCTCGTCGAAACTATCGATAACAGCTTGCTTCTTCTTGAACGAGACGTGCACGTTGCGAAACTTCTTGGGAGGCTTCTTGGGGCCCTCCTTCACACGTGGTCGACCAGGAGGCCTTGCCGGTGGAGTGACATCCATTTTGAAAGGAGTAGAATGACGTGACTGGTTCCCACACGACTGAAACAATCGCGCGCGCAATAAACCTCCCAAAACTAATTTTGAATACATGTATTAGAATAAAGAGGGTATTAATAATTAGAGGATATATTGCCGCGCAAGGTTATCCTGTTAAATTTATTGTCCATGGTCTACATCAAAATATCAATACATACAGGAACCTGGAAGGAGATAAACCACCTGGAAGGACATCTATTACACGTTATTCGTCTCTTTGAGTGGATGAAGCTGATCCTTAACGCGTGTCGATTGGACAAATATTGAAAAAAATACAAGTAAAAATCAAGTGTACTAACCCTTTATGTCCAGCACTCTGTAGTACTTCGAAAAGAAAAGATAGATCATTCGGTGAAGTGAGAAGCTTAGATCCGCGCTCTCGTACGGCCGCGCTTGCGCAGACGGCCTCCCGGGCGCTCGGGGCCAACGTAAAGCTTGGTCACTACTTTAGGTTTCATCCCACAACTTCATCCCTTGTCATCCAAATGTCATCCACATGTCATCCACGCTTTTAATTCAACAATTATATTGTATTAACCATAGCATACAAAGTTGGTATTAATATTCAATGCTGTCCCGTAAGTCTTAAGTACTACATATTAATAGAGCCCATTAATTGACCGCTCCTACGACGACCTAAGCCCTTTGCACCCATTTTGGGCTGTTTACATTGGCTATAATTCATTTTTCTCAGATTTTGAGAGCGATACAAACTCCAAGTTAAGGTACTTGGTCGTTGAACAGGCCTCGTCTGGGAGCGGCACGGCCTACGGCCTACCTGCCGCTTTTCCCGACGAGAGGAAAAGATAGGAAGTCCCCGTGGGGCAGGATGGCGTCGCGCCACAGCGCTCGCTTTGGTGCGAGTCGCTCTACACTCTATCTACGCTACGTTACGTATAAGGCCCAGTTCGAAGTAAAACTATATATATTGATGAAAAGGAGTGCGAAGTACTCGTCGTCTCCGGGTCGTCCTCGGAGGTAAATTTAAACTCCAATCTTATTGGTCAGAAGAAAAAGGCAAAATTTTTTTGTCACCGGATGATAGACCAGTAATGAGACCCATGATTGGACGTAGATTCGCCAATGGCGACATTCGTCGTGATAAACCACCACTTTTGAAGATGACTCGTCCGACCAAGACGCTCAAGGCAAAGACACCCACGAAAAAAGACCTTCAGGAACAAGTCCGGCTCCTCCAAGAAGCCATGCATGGAACTGTCGGCGTTGAAGCCGCCGCGTGTGCAGATCAGGTGGTTCAAGTCACGTTGCCACCGACCTTTTACAGTGATGATATGGTGGTTACTTTGCTCGAGCTCCGGTACGGCCGCTTCAAGGAGACTTTTAGCAAGTGCAACTAAAATCAAAAGAAGTGCAGTTTGTGGGAACGTCTGCGCCTGCAGTTCAACATTATTGTTGGAGGAGACAACGCTGTCACAACAACGTCGTTGAAGAACAAGGAGTACGACATCCGTGCCAAGTACAAGGCTATTCACATCAAGGAAGCTGCGACGGGGAACGACTCCGACATCCCTATCGACTATCCCGTTTACTGGGATGACATGGTTGCAGCGTTTGGGGACATGCGAGGATTAGGCGACGTCGAGTTTGGAGATGATGTTCCATTCCCAACAGAAAACAGTGGTCAAGCAGACAAGCGCAAGGCGGTGGATGACTTGGAGAGCCAGCGACAACAACGATCCAAATCCAAGGTTGACATTGGTGCCGGTCTGGTGTCCTTGGGCGATGCGTTGGCTAAAGGACTAGTCGATGCTGCTGCATTTCGTTCGGTTCCGGACTCGAGCATTGCTACAGTGGCGACATTATTGGCGGAAACGAAGGAAATATTAGTTTCAACAGGTGTGATGAACGAAAGGACTATTGCGGCCTTAGAGCGTGGAAATGAAATTCAAG